CCTTTTCTTTCGTTACTATATTTGCTTCGAGGTTTCACTATACATAGCATTACACACCACACACGGTTTATAGGAAAGCAAAGCTAAGGCAGGACAAGGAACAAATGTTAGCACCAAGGGGTAGAATAGTGTTATCAGAACATTTAAACAAGATGTGCATCACATTTATACATATAGAGCTCGTACCCAAAAGATTTTGTCCTCATGTATTAGAATTACTGTACCTAATAATTAACCAATACATGAAATTGATAGCTTACAAGCTATTGCACTAGTTGATGATTTGATTTAGGTGATTGTCGTCCACACCTAGCATGTCAAAATCAAGAACTGGAAGCACAAGCAAAAGCTAACTCCTAATATAAATAATACAAAATGCTATTCACCTTATAATTTGAGACTTGGAGGATATACTGTCGTTCCTTAGAGTCCATCATAACAAGCTTTGTTTGCCAATCCGTCATTTGCTCTACTTGTTGCTTCTCCACATCATTTTAAATTTCTCCGGCATCCTAGAAACAACACAAGTACTTATCATGTTTGACACAGAAATCTAGGTGACAATGATAACTAATGAGTGAGAACTCAAACTATGAAATGAACAGGTTTTCACTCACTTCTTCAGCTCAGTAAGCTTGTAAGGCAGCCCTTTATTGGGTTTTGTTCTGGATTCAAAATGATTGACTTAAACCCTGCACTGTAATCTGAATTGTTGTCCTTTCATCTTTATGAAAGACGAGACATGGCCCCAAAACTCTACAAAAAAATGGAAGATTCATCGTTCATGCAATGGCGAGTAATAAAATTCCAAACATTGAACATATATACCCGTCAAGTATGAGATCTCTCAATATTTTTCCTTTTTCCTTCACTTTTTACAGAAGTCTCACCATGTTATGTGTGTTTGGTATAATATCTGCTTTGCTATGTTAACATCAAAACTAGTTCCTGTTGCACACTGTAGTTCTAGTGCTTTTCCTAAGCTTTTCAAAATGGTAAAGTATATAATTTTCCATTGTCTAGAACTCCAGCTATGATTTATTTCTTTGACTGAATTGCTGTTGTTTCTAAGTTTCAGTTTAGCTCTGCCATATGTATACTAAACCTGCTTAGTTTGGTTATGCTTCTTGATATTCTTCCACACCTAGCTGTCTACTTGAGCAATGGTTCTTATCCTTCCACACTTAGTTTGGGACTTGTATTGTCATGTCTTGCTGTTAGAAGTTACTAGCATTAGAAAGGTTGAGTTATCAGTCATTTTTCAGTTAAGTTATCATGTCTTGCTGTTTTTCTACTGCTTAAGTGCTTGAACTCATTTCCTGTCATTTGCAACAGCTGCTGCTTCTACTACTCTCCTATATGGCAATAGCTGCATTTTGCATTTTTTTTTAGCGGCATTCTTGCTCCTCCTTTCTTGAGTTAAATGATATGCAGACCTCTCTCTCTCTCTCTCTCACCTCTCTTCTCCTCTCTTCTATTTTCTCCTCTCTTCTCTCTTGTTTGGCAAAGATTAGCTTGCTTCTATTACGATTTAAATAATGTGCAGACCTCTATTCTCTCTTCTCTCACCTCTCTTCTCCTCTCTTCTATCTTCTTCTCTCTTCTCTCTTATTTGTGAAGAGTATTTGCTCCTTTGTTTGATTTAAAGCTGTCAACAAATTGGCTTTATTTCCTATCACATTGTCAACATGGTACCACTGATACTTGTATTCTATCACATTGTTCTTATTAATGGCTTTATTTCATGGAACACAATGGCTGTTCTACTACTACTATACTACTGTCCTTAAGGGTAAGTTTGAACCTCTTCACCCGTAGTATAAAAACTTCGTACATGGTATGAAATACTAAACCGAAACTTGTTCTCTTGTAGTGGAGAGAAGAGAAAGGAATAAAAAGAGACCCATACAAGGATGACCAACTCTTAGAGCTCGTCGGCGACCTTTGCAACTTCATATTATACCATATTGTACATGTCAGATGCGTCTACCATGACCGAGAGTCTGAGTTAGGTACAAATCCTCAGTACCAACACCTTCGTGAGACTGAAAGGCTAGCTCTAGGACGTTGATGACAATATGTATGGAATTTGTATATTTAATGATGGATTGTATATATTCTTGTTAATTGGACTTGTAATTGTAGTTTATAGAATACTCTTGTGCTTGTAGTCGCGGTCGCGGGGCGATCGGTAATGCTAACCTTGCTCGAGCGTTGGTCGCGGGCGTTCGGGCAACCTTAACGCTTGTTCGTAACGTTGGTCGCGGGACGTTCGGCAACACGATTTTGAATTGTAAATTTGATTTTTTTTGCGGGAAAACGTACTGTAGAGGCGGTTGTAGATTGAACCGCCCCTACAAATACCTGTTTGTAGGGGCGGCTGGTAATACGAGCCGCCCCTACAAATCGATTTGTAGGAGCGGCCTGGGAACCGCCCCTACAAATGCATGATTTGTGGAGACGGTTCGGTAGGGGCGGCTGGCCAAACCGCCCCTACAAATGGTTACGAGCCGCCCTTAAAAATTGATTCTGTAGTAGTGCTTGTTGAGAGAGAAAAACACTGTATCATGACTGATAAGCATGGCTGATACGATCAAGCAAACATTGTGCTGTTTTGTGGCCTGTTCGGCTGGTATTAAAGCCAACTGATAAACCGGCTAAAACTGTTTCGTTGTGTAGCTATCTGTCTTTGCCCATGTACTTTGCCACGCACTTCACTAATTTGTTTATTAATTTCTTTAATGTAAGAGAAATATGCTCATACCTTTACAAGCGTAGAATAGTACCACATGGAAAACATATGCACTTCACTGATAAGCGTTGAATACTTGAGTTCTAGGCACAACATCAATCTCCCGACCTTTTATAGTCAAATAAATAATCTGCAACATACTCCCTTCATCCTAAAAAAAATATTATTTTTAACTTTCAGACATCTTGTATGACCATCCGTCTTATTCAAAATTTTTTATATAAATATCATATATTTTGTTATGACTTATTACATCATTAGATATACTTTAATAATAATTTATTTATTTTATAATTTACATAATTTTTTTAATAAAACAAACGGTCAAACACAATGTCTAAAAATAAAAAATATCATTCTTTTTTGGACGGAGGACTATAGCAGTATAAAGTGTGCCAAGAAGTTGTTGCCCAACTACCGTGCTGGACCTATAAAAAACCTGCGCCGCTCGCTATATGCTCCCCTACCTCCACCGAGAACCTGTCGTCTCCTACGAGACGCGCCAACGCCAAGCCGGCGAGATCTAGCAGACAACAAGAGACAAGACCACAGAGCCATGGGCATCTTCACGGTGACCAAGCTGTCCGAGGGGCCGGTGCGGCCGTCCGCCGACACGCCGTCGGAGACGTTGCCCCTGGCCTGGGTCGACCGGTACCCGACGCACCGCGGCCTCGTCGAGTCCACGCACATCTACTGCTCCGACGACGTCGCGAAGACGATGCTGCTTCCGCCGGCGCCGGCCGCGGGAGCAGCAGAGGCCGACGATGCACTGGCGCCGACGAAGAAGGAGGTGACCACCAAGACGAAGTCCCCGGCCGCGGTGGTGCGCGGCGCGCTGGCGGACGCGCTGGTGCACTACTACCCGTTCGCGGGTCGGATCGTGGAGGACGTGCCGGGGCGCCCCGCCGTGCTGTGCTCTGCCGAGGGCGTCTACTTCGTGGAGGCCGCCGCCAACTGCACCCTCGCCGACGTCAACTTCCTGGAGCGGCCGCTGCTGCTCTCCAAGGAGCAGCTCGTGCCGTGCCCGACGCCGGAGCTCTGGCCCGTCGAGCCGCACAATAGCCTCGCCATGATACAGGTGCGCTGGAGCTGGATCTACTTACTTGCCCGCTTCGCACTGTACATATTTCCTGTTTCATTGGTTCTGACACGTAGATCCATGAATGAGGAGATGTGAGCAGCAGTTCGATCAGACGACGGGTGTAAAACACGCCAAACTTTCGTGCAAATTAAAGCCAACTGCATGCATGATTGGAACGGGAGCAAATATGCAACCATGAGTTGCACTGTCCTAAACAGTTGTCACAAATTAAAGACCGTGTACTTTCACAAATATATTTTCGATGACAAGATTTAACATAGTATTTGCATGGCTTTGAACACAGCAAAACCTGACAATGTTCGTTAGAAATCAACTGGTAGATCATCAGGTTCATTGGTCTTCTTTCTGACTTTCTCCATAAAGTTAAACTTGCACCGTACCTATGACTAACTATACTAGTAATAGAATACTAACAATTACCTCATCAACTTGGTGACGATCATATACGCAGCACTGAGAACTTTTCAAGTCGTTATTTTCAGGTCACGACCTTCACCTGCGGCGGCTTCGTGGTGGGCCTGCGCACCAACCACGCGGTGGCGGACGGCACGGGCGCGGCGCAGTTCCTCAACGCCGTCGGCGACCTCGCCCGCGGGCTGCCGGAGCCCCGCGTGAAACCCATCTGGGGCCGGGACCGGTTCCCCGACCCGGACATCAAGCCCGGCCCGCTCCCGGAGCTGCCGGTGCTGGCGCTGGAGTACATCGCGTTCGATTTCCCCACCGCGTACCTGGACAAGCTCAAGTCGCAGTACGCGGCATCCACGGGCGGCAAGATCTGCTCGGGCTTCGACATCGTCATCGCCAAGCTGTGGCAGTGCCGGACGCGTGCCATCATCGACGCCGGCGCCGCCGCCGACGACGTCAGGCTCTGCTTCTTCGCCAGCGTCCGCCACGTGCTGAAGCTGGACCCGGGCTACTACGGCAACGCCATCTTCCCCGTCAAGGTGCAGGCGCCGGCGGAGAAGGTGGCCGGCTCGTCGGTGGTCGAGCTCGTCGGCATGGTCCGGGAGGCGAAGCGGCGGATGGCCGAGGAGTGCCTGAGCTGGGCCGAGGCCGCACCGGCGGCGTCGACCCGTTCCAGATGACCTTCAACTACGAGTCCGTGTACGTGTCGGACTGGAGCAAGCTCGGGTTCGCCGACGTGGACTACGGGTACGGCACGCCCATGTCCGCCGGCCCGCTGGTGAACTGCGACCTCATCGCGTCGGTCATCGTCATGAGGGCGCCCGCGCCGCTCGCCGGCACGCGGCTTCTGGCCAGCTGCGTCACCAAGGAGCACGCCGACGACTTCACCCGCAGGATGCGGGAGGACCTCGTCTGATACGACATACGGGAGCGCGCGCCACCATGAAGATGAAGGTATTGTATTGCTGCTGTCTGGATCAGACCTATACGTGTCTGATACGACATACGGGAGGACCTCGTCTGTACCTACTACGTGTGAAGTGTGATCAGACCTATACGTTGTGGACGCTAAAGGTATTGTATTGCTGCTGTCTGGATCGCAACTAGTAGTGGATTGCACTACGTGTACGTTTGTACACAAACAAATTTCTCATGGAGTTGTTGAGTGGTGACTGACGATGCAGCGTCAGTTAGTAGCGTTGACGGGGAAAAAAACACTCCATGGAAATTTGTTCGTACGAATCGTACATTTGCCTAGACTTTCTTGTCTGGTTCGTGCAAAAGTCAATCAGTTACACCTGATATTGTATTTGAGTGGATATAAAGTGTAACAATAATCCATATCATTTCGATTGCACGTGTACTCATATGTACCCAACCCCCATATATATATATGCGCGCACTACTAAATTATTAACAGGCTGAATAATAGTGTTGTTTCATTTTCTTTATCCGAAAAGAAAAACATAAACCCAGAAAGAAAAAAAAGAAGGAACCAAGGAAGGAGAATGGAGAATAAAAACAGCTACGGCTGCTGTGAGGAGATTCGCAAATTAAACAACTCCCAGTGCTCAGTCACAATCACAGGTCATGGGCATCCTCCTAACAGAAGGAACAACTTCCTTGAAACACCTAGAAATGGAGAATAAAAACAGCTACGGCTGCTGTGAGGAGATTCGCAAATTAAACAACTTATAGTTTCTGGGCTAAAGTATTAAATACTTCGTTTATGGATTATAATATTTCTTGACTAAGTTGATCCTTCAAGATCAATTAATATGCTAGTATAGTTCAATTGTTCATGTGCTTCTAGAAATTCAGTTTCCTTTCTACCTACATGGTAGTAGTGCAGAAAGAACTATATAACCTTCATGGTTAATTGAGGTTTCTTTGTGAATAAAATTAATACAAAATTTATTTAGATAGGCAATAGGCAATTGTTTATATGTAAAACATATAAATCTAATTCATTGCATGCAAGATTAACATATATTGCTGCCAATAAAAATTGCAACTAAGAACTTCATATTAGTCTTCAAGCTAATAAAGCAACCATTAACTCTTCTATGAGTTTACATAATCCACTTAATTCAACAGGAATTAAAACTTAAAGCACCACCACCACTACTATCAATACTTCAGGATATGAATTTCAAAAGCAATAAATTTATAAGCACATGATTTAAGTTCTTCTTCAAGAGAAACTTTAAATGTTCTAATTTCTATCCATTCTTACTTGTCTTATCTTCGATGCTTGATATTTAGCAGCTTCGTGCTTGCTCGATCCTTCTAGGAGTATAATATATGCAAATCACATATCCTGATTTATAGAGCTATCTAAAAATTCTGACTCAATTTCTACTTGATATTGAGTAATTCTGGATGATATAGGATACTTGTAGTACTTCAATGCTCTTGATCTTCTATTTCAAGAAATATTTCTTCTGAAATTTAGATAAATTCGTCTTTATCATCTCGTCTTCTATGACTTTTAACACAAAGTTTCAAGCTAATTGTATTTGTTTATAGAGTAGCATTTGTATCCCATATGGTCATATAAGCTTGAAAATTCAATTTTCAATATTTCTAACATTATGCAATCATCATAATATAGGATATCTTCTATAATTTCTCATGTAGTGAGTATCATAAGACCTTTAGGATTTAGTTTGGTCACATACTCATTCTTTGAGATTAATATCATGAACTATAATGCTTAAGGTCCACTCCATTTCAGTGTAGTAGAATATCCTATTAGGATTTAATAAATGACCATGCTATATAATTCTGCATTCAGGACAAGTTCAGGATATTTTTTCTTCACGAAGGTATGCATATATTATTATTACCGGAATCATCATGTGCGTATGAGTTTACTACATGTGAACAAGTGGCAAAGTGCAAAAACATAGCGGATGGTTATACAAAATACTTTTAGAAGCATCCTAACATTTTTTAGGATTATGGTATATGCAAATTTTTAGAATTAATACAAACCATTTATTCATCCCAAAAATTCATTATGCTAGGAAAAACAAATATGAGCCTCTCAAAGGTGATAAGTCTAAGGTCTGCAGGATTTAGAGATGCCATATACCTTATACCATATTTTTAGTTTAATAATTCAAGTTTTTATTCTTACAATTACATGGTATATAATTCATAATGATATTGCGCTAGCATTTTTCAGAACTAATTTCAAAGTGTAGAAAATTTTCAGAATTAATCTACTATTTAATTCGGAAAAATAAAGCTAGGCAAAAACAATAATTAAACTGCAGATTCAAAGTTTTGTATGAACTCTTATATATTCAATTCAAAATATAAGAGGGCACAGTAAATATGTATTAACAACGGGTCCAGGGTTAAAAACTTGTCAGATATAAGTTTTGTATGAACTCTTATATATTCAATTCAAAATATAAGTTTTGTATGAACTCTTATATATTCAATTCAAAATATGTATTAAACCGCCGGCCCGCTGGTGAACTGCGACCTCATCGCATCGGTCATCGTCATGAGGGCGCCCGCGCCGCTCGCCGGCACGCGGCTTCTGGCCAGCTGCGTCACCAAGGAGCACGCCGACGACTTCACCCGCAGGATGCGGGAGGACCTCGTCTGATACGACATACGGGAGCGCGCGCCACCATGAAGATGAAGGTATTGTATTGCTGCTGTCTGGATCAGACCTATACGTGTCTGATACGACATACGGGAGGACCTCGTCTGTACCTACTACGTGTGAAGTGTGATCAGACCTATACGTTGTGGACGCTAAAGGTATTGTATTGCTGCTGTCTGGATCGCAACTAGTAGTGGATTGCACTACGTGTACGTTTGTACACAAACAAATTTCTCATGGAGTTGTTGAGTGGTGACTGACGATGCAGCGTCAGTTAGTAGCGTTGACCGGGAAAAAAACACTCCATGGAAATTTGTTCGTACGAATCGTACATTTGCCTAGACTTTCTTGTCTGGTTCGTGCAAAAGTCAATCAGTTACACCTGATATTGTATTTGAGTGGATATAAAGTGTAACAATAATCCATATCATTTCGATTGCACGTGTACTCATATGTACCCAACCCCCATATATATATGCGCGCACTACTAAATTATTAACAGGCTGAATAATAGTGTTGTTTCATTTTCTTTATCCGAAAAGAAAAACATAAACCCAGAAAGAAAGAAAAAAGAGAAGGAACCAAGGAAGGAGAATGGAGAATAAAAACAGCTACGGCTGCTGTGAGGAGATTCGCAAATTAAACAGCTCCCAATGCAAAGTCACAATCACAGGTCATGGGCAGCCTCCTAACAGAAGGAACAACTTCCTTGAAACACCTAGAACTATTACTAAACTGTCTCATGCGATGCATTGTAGGGGTGACCCAGCTTGACGAGTTGAATATCCTCCTTTGATCAAGAATGCCAGCTGTGTAGAGGTTGTAAGGAGGTGTACCCAAAAACCCTCCGGTCCTCCGGTTTCGATCTTTCCACACATTCCAGTACCAAAATAGATTACTACACATTTACACTGTCAAAATTCTTTTGCATTTGTTTGGTACTTTTGCTGTCAACAGGTACCCTACATCTCCCTTTCCTCCAATATTTATATATAGAGCCCAATAGGTCCATGTTTTCCCAAACGACGTGAGGAATCTTCCTCTAGAATCCGACAAATGCTCTAAGCCTAACACACGGGCAGAGTAGCAAGGCGTCAGGCCATGCTAGGGCTCTGTCCCCTCGCCCCTGCGAGGCAGTGTCGACCACTCAAGGCTCAAGGTCATGCCTGGGGCATGACACTGCGACAAGGACGAGCGCGCGACCACTGCGCGGGGAGGCACAAGCCCGTCAGTCAACCTCTCCCTACATGTGCCCGCTCCCATGGCGTGCGATGGCCGCCACAAGGACAATTCCAGGCGAGGCATGACAACTCCTGCTTCTGACGGTTGGCTCCAAGCTCCAGCAGAGGATGTCAGAGACGGTTCAACACTGTTGGCCATGACCATGGATGAGGGATGGCGCCGATGCCACCACCGGCACGAAGATTAGGACATGAAACCCTACAACTCCCTTGGCCGCCAAGGGAGCTTCTAGAACTAAGGTAGGGCAAGGGCTCCTATAGAAGGGGATCGGGCCCTAGATCAATCTGAGAAACCCAAGATCACTAGCTTAGCACTCTCCTACCAACTCTCCCTCTTCTCCATTGTAAGAACTCGATTGAGCATTTTAACATGAAGAACTAGATGTTGGACTTAGGGCTTAAACGCCCGGACAAGGATAAATCCTTTGTGTCTTAAGTGCTTAACCACCGGAGTCCCTCACATCGACCTACCGATCTAATCACTAATCGCTACCCATGGTATCGAACCCACGACACTCCCTTTCTCGATTAGGGTCACAGAGGCAGCGACAGCTGAATGCAGGGGCGATTGCTGTAGAGACGGTCTGGAGTTGGAGTCCCAATGGCTACAAAGTCCCCAAGAGGGGTGGCGCAGGGATCATGAGAGCGGAGGAACCGGCGCTGGCGACTCCCCTCAGGTGAGGCGGCGCCCACCCATGGGTGCAAGGTGGGACACGTGGGGCGGAAGTGACCCATGAGGCAACACTACACATGGTTGCGAGAGTTAGCAGTGACACGTGAGGTCGGTATGACAACGGTGGCGCATGAGGTTGGGATGATGGTGATGCAGGGGAGCAGAGATGGCTGCATCATGGGAGGACGCTGATGGCATTGGCTATTGTACGCTGCGGCAGGGATGGTTGCGGCAGCACGAAACAGGAACGGGTGGTGGTGGTGGCACACTAGGCTAAGATGGTGGCTGCAGTGTGTGGGCAAGAGGAGGTGGTGGCTGTGGTGGCGCGGGCTTAGCAGCCGGAAACATGGAACATGGCCACGTTCCTCGTTCCGGGAACGTCTTTCTAGGGACTTCCACGTTCCTGCAGGAATATTTATGTTCCCACGTTATAAAATAACAGAGTAAAATGCACCATAGGTCTATTAAC